GAGTTATTTATAAAATAATAATGATACTAATGAAAACAGCAGAATAGAAGAGAAAGAATTAGAAAAAAAAAATCACAAAATACAAAGAGCTGCAAATAGAAGTAGAACAACTGTGTCAAAAGAAAGCAAAAATAGTATCAATAGTAATGAGGGCCTTGGGTACAACTCCAAAACATTTGGAGCACCACATGAACACCACTGGCATTGACAAAATCACCAGTCAGTTGCAAAAGTTTACTTGGGATAGCTTACATCCTGCAATGATACATTTAGCGCCATCAAATAACAACATCTTAGCTCATTGGGAAGAACTCAATAAGTGGATAAAAATGCTTAATTATTTCTTATCCTCTTACTTTCAAAAATTTGCGTTAACACAGAGTTCATTGAAATTTCCCAAATTAAAATATTCAAAATTTTCTAATAGGATAGTGCTGAAATGACAGGATCATTTTCACAAACTATCTGAAAACACCAAATTTCTAGAAAAATAGCATTACTATACAGTTCATTTTTGTCTTATTTTATAGGCAGTAGATAAAACAAAATTATACTTAATTTTTTTTGTTACCAGTCTAATGATACTGCAGTTTTTTACTTTTCCAGCATTTAGATTTTCAAAAAGGTTTAATGTTTACATGTTTTAGTTATGTTTGGATGACAATAAGCCTGACATATTGAATGTTGTCAGTATCTAAATAATGCCGCTAGGAAAACCTAGGCAGAGGTTTCTTTTTAGATTAATATGCAGGATATATTTCTAACTGAAAAATCATATAGTTAATTAAATTATATTTGTGATTCTGACAAAGCTTAATTGGGTTATAAGTTATATGGAAATTGTTCAGATTTGTTCCATTCTAAGAAGCGAGATCACAGTAATGTTTTTCCAAGGTGGAGAACTTTTTATCTATGAATGGCTGTTGGCTGATGTAAAGTATCAGTGTTCTGGTATGTTGATAAACAGAAGCAAAAATAACCAAATATTTGGAGAGTTTTAAATAATCCTTATGATGGTGTTTCTGTGTCTATATTTCTCAGTATTTTGAACTCTTGAAGGTAATGACCATTCTTATTTCTGAGTGAAAAGTAGAGGAGCCTACTTTTTATGAATAAAAAGCAAATGAATAATTTATGAATGTTATAAAATTAAAATTTGTTAATTTAATTTTTTTTATTTTAAAAAAGGCTATTTTTCCCTGATTTAAACAATCATTTGTGAAAGAAGTTTCCCTTCTCCTTTAATGCATCTTGAAGAACTATGTAAGAATTTTATAGAAAGTAGATTAAAATATAGCAAGAAATAATCAAGCAATTGCAGATTCAAATAAACATATTGCTGAGGGACACCTAGAATTTCTAACCAAGAAGCACTATGGAATCCACTTAATGAAAATCTTGCTAAGAAAATTGTTAGGACTTACCCAAGCAATTTCCTGGAGTCATGACTAACTTAAACACAAAATAGAAATAGTTATATTTAGGATATTGTTGTCTAGCCTCAGACTTTTGAGCATGATTCTTAATCAAGCTAAGGTTACTTAATTGAAATGTTAAAAAATGATGTGCAATCCTTTACATGTAAGAAAGGAGGCTACAATACTTTTAAGTTATGTAAAATATGATTAACTTGTTTTTTTTAAAAAAGTATTGTGTATTTATGTGTGGGTGTATAGATGTGTGTGGGTGTGTATTTTTCCTAAATGACTTTGCACTAAGAAAATACATGCATTATTATATATGTAATACAGTTCAAGGTTTTAATTTGCTGTAATTTATTTCTATTTTGCTTTTTAACCAAGGGGCAGTTCAAAATGATTAATACAGATACAAAATTATGTATTGCAATAAATTTTATATAATTATATTAGTAATATCTTATTTGTAGGAAAGTAATTTTCCCACTTTGTTTAATTAAACAAAACAATATAGAGGGGGGAAATGAAACAGCAAGAGTATTTGAATTAAGCTTGGCATTCTTGCAACTGATATTTAGACTTGCCTATGAGACATCCACATTTTAAGCCATGAAAAGAAATTTGGCTTCTCATTATTAATTTTATAGGTCCAAAGCTATCACTACTAGTTTATGTTTTGCTTCTTTTGTTTGTTTTTAATTCATTTTTAAAGAAAACATTATTCCTTTTTAGTATTTGGGACCTAGCAATTTATACATGTATGTAATGCAATATATTTTTCTATAAAATCATGTAATGGTCCCTCCCAAAGGAAAATTCATTCTAATATCAAAGTGTTTGATGTTGGGATATTTCCATTTCATATTTGAGTATACATTGTAACTGGATATATATCAAAAGTAACTTTGTTATATATTAAGGTTTCTTTTTCATTCTAGATTTTCATATGCTAGGATAAAGCAAAAAAGAGTGGCAGAAAATGAATTGGAAAACTCCTACTTTGATTAAGATGGGAAAAAGATACAGTTACTCATTTAGTAGTAGTTAGGAGAAGAATTGTTTAACATTAATGTCTGAAATTGAATTTTAACCCTTGTTGTCCTCTTTTTCCTCCCAAGATGGTGAATGAACTGGGCAAGATTGTGATGTAAAGATAGTGAACCTGGCAGCTTCAAATGTATCTTCCTTTGGCCTAAATTATCCTGTCTGTCTAGTTGACATGAAATGAATGCCAGCAATAGATTATTGCCAAATGATCATTCAGCTCAAATGAAAAGGAGCAAGATATAACATGGAAAGAGGATGTGGTTTTCGAAGAATTGAAGCCTGAAGTAACCCTCATGAATTTCAATCACAGCAATTCAGAGAACATCACTGGTAAGCTGATGAGTTAATTAAACGGTGCTGGTAGATGTTTTGGAAATTATAATTGCTTCAGAGCTGCAATCTTCAGTAGTTTATATTGAACTTTAGAATTGTCTCAAATTTACAATGAAGCAATGCCTTTATTAGGCCAAACTCAAGGTTGATTAAATGGCATGTAAATTTTCCCAAAGTGCTTAAGCAGGCAAATCATATAAAAATTAGAAAAAGAATTGGGGAGGGGAAGAAAGAAAAGCATCTAAAGCAACAGGATAAATTAAAATACTAATAAAAGTTGGATTAAGAAAGAAATCAATCTTAAAATCAGTGCAATAGATGAAGAACCATAGCTGTTTTTTTAGTTAGGGATAATTGATTTCTAATAGAAATAAATGTTTAAGATTTGTGCTGTTTCTTACTGGCCTTAGTTCAGAATGGATAATATTACTCATTTGTTTTACAATGTTGAAAATCATTTATTTAACAAAGAAAACAATGGTTTTCTTTCAAAGTTGATCTCTAGTATGTTGTCTGCATATATCTTTAGATGTTTGCCCTAATGAGGACCTTCCTGAAGTAGAGCTAGTGAGCATGCTAGAAGAACAGCTGCCTCAGTACAAATTACATGTGGATTCTTTATATCTTCCTGTAAATGATGATTGGATCCAGTCAAGAAGCTCTCATAATCATGATCCTGAAATTTCTTCTCCTGTCCTTGCTGAGGAGGCACTCCATTATATGAGTAAGTAACCCAATACAAATATAAGCATTAAAGATTCAATCAACCTGCAAAAAGGACTTAAGTATCTCCAGATTTGGAGAACTGTATGTTTTCCAAAATTGATACAAAGAACGAAGCTTGGATATTTATTTATATATTACTAAAATTCTCAAGTTTGTAACATTTAACTGGCTGAAACTGAATCATAGGGCAATGTTTTGAACCAATGCCTCAAGTAAGCTAATTTACAGAATGTTTCCAAAATCCAGGATCCATCACTCCCATGGAATTGTAATTTGGCAAATTTTATAATGACATAAAAATTATGATAAAGCATTTTATGATATAATACAAAATGCCATAAAACATTTCCTGTGGTCAACTGCTAATGTTTGACTGTGTTATATGGTTCAATAAGGGTTACTCTCAAGGCAGATATGTCTCTCAATATCTCCCTAAATTGTTAAGAACTTTTCCAGCACATTAGAAGCTCTTCCATTGTTGAAGGCATTGAAGAATCTAGTAGGGACATAAGTAGTTGCCTGTTGTCCTTTTTCTAACAAAATTTAAAAAACAGTGGATTGTCCTATGAACATTGCTCTTGTTAAATGAACTGTTGAAGAACATGGGAATAAACAACAGTGAACAGAGTTGTTAAAATGGCATTGATTGCAGATTATGTATAAGGCAATAACATCAGCCTATGTCAAGCCCAACAAAATAAGACTATTAAAATCTCTTCTTACTATCTGTTACTCAAAAACAATGTATGAGTTGGTTAAATATTGGCTTATACAACTTTTTATTATCTGTATTTTTTATCAGCATTGTGGGTTTGTTCAACTTTCTGTTCTTTAGGACTGAACTTTCAGTCAACCCAGTAAAGTGAAATTCAATATTGAGTAAATAAAAAAGTGCAGCTTTAAGGAGCTGCTGGCAAATATAGCAATTATGCTTTTGCTAGAACCAAAGCACTTTTCTACTTCAGACTGAAATATTGGATTCATCTAATATTGTATTACATTAGTATGCTAACATCTATAATGGAAAAATGGATTTGTCAGTGAAGCTAAACTCCTAATATGATTGTGATATTCCACATTTAATGCCCTTTATAATTCCAAAACTAGAAAATTTCTGATTTCAGAACTGCAATAGCCAGTATTGCAGTATAGCTCCTCCTATTTTATGATACTTCTGCTTGGAGAAATGTTTAATTGATAGCTGAGTAAATACTAGGGAGTGTTGCTTACAGGTTCAGTAGCATATGTACTGCAGAACAAAAAGTAAGGGCTAGCCATTACTTCAGCTTGTATTCAGTTCTTCCAAACTACTCCTTGTATATAAGTTGTCAGATGGATATGGCCCTAGATAAAAGGGATGTGAACCAAAATGAAGAGCTACTCATGGGTATAACTCTACAAGGTAAGTGTACACATAAACATTAGCATATATATATATATATATATATATATATCTTTACTAGATTTTCCAGAAAATCTGAGAGCTTTATAAAAACTATGCATTTTTATATGTTTATAATTGATGTTTGGATTTTTTGATGTTTGCTACCTGATTACAAATCAGAAAGTCCTGAGATTCAACTTCTTCAAAAGCTAAGCAATTTTAATAAGGTCTTTCTGTCTTAGACTATAAGGAAAAACTGAATACAATCCACAACTGAATACACAGTTGTGTAAAGTAAAATACTGTAAACTTCGCATAGGCAAGAGAGGGTAAGAAGGAGAGTATTTTCACTGATTACCCCTTTTTCTATTATTTCTTTACATCTATTGCCACTAAAAATCTCTCCCAGAGGTTTGGGAGACCATTTGGAACACAGATTGTTACAATGAGGAACAATATGTATTAAAATGGATCCTCCTTCCTGACAGACAGAAGAACATCTAGTTTACAGTGCAGAAATCTTCAGTGATTTCTACGTTACTTCTGAAAGTAGAAGTAACCCTTGTGTTTATACTTGTGCAATTTGATTTTGGATATTTTTCTTAGTGGACTTTTGATATTGCTGCACACTACTTAAGAAATATGATAACTTGGGTTCTCCTATCTTTGACTTATTGGTTAAGCTGAGCAGGCTTTTGACCTTTCCTTTTAATAAAAATAGGTACTTTGATAATTGGGTCTGTCTTCTTCTCTAATAATTTGTAAATTGTTAGGATATAAATATCCACAGAAAATATTTGTCATATGTCTGTTTCCTGTTTGTGTGGCACAGAGGGTATTGCTGCGTGGAATAATAAATTGAGTCTTGGCTATATTTTTTTCTTTCCAACCTGAAGAAGAAGAAAAATATGTACAGTAAAGAAAATTGGGACTGTGTCTATCAGCCTGTCTTGACTATTTGCCCTTTAGCTAGATAACATCAACTTTTAAAGAGAATTGAACTAAATTTGGTCTTTAGGGATATAAGTGAGCAAAAAAAAGACTGATTCAGAATTTTGCTGACTTCTCTACTCTATCCTTTCCTCTCCTCCTCAGTCACCTAGCCCAGAACAGAACTATTATTAAAAATTTGGAGAAGAAAAACCCGAAAGCCATTTTCTGTGTGTTTTTGCTACTTTATTTTTCGCCTAAAGTTAAAAAATCAAAACTTCTGGTGACTTCTGTACACCAGCCTGGGATTTTTCTTTGAAATAACACAGAAATAGGCTTGCCACTGCTATCCCTTAGGAATGTTTTTTTCTTTCTTACAGCCCACCAGCCTAGGACTTGTTAGTGATGTTACATCCAAGTACTAACCCCTTAGATTCTCAATATCCTTTTTATCATCTTTTATTGAGATCGGCTATGTTCAGCCAAATGCTGCAACATGTTCTGACAATCTTTGCATACACTTTTGTGTGTGTGTGTGTGCCCTTAAATCAATTTTAGACTCCTACTGACTGTCTGGAATAGTCCTTGCAGTTTTCTTGACAGTATTTCTGGAGATGGTTTGCCTTTTGCCTGTTTCCTAGGACTGAGAAAGAGGGACTGGCCCAAAGTCACCCAGCTTGCTTTGTGCCTAAGATAGGACTCACAGACTCCTGGTTTCTAGCCTGGCTCCTTAAACACTAGATCAGACTGGTTCTCTTGGCTCTACTAATTTTTTTTTCTTTTCATTTGGAAGTATTGCTTGCTTATTCCTGCAACAATTGATGAGGGAAGAAGAGAAATGGCTGCCCTACTCTTTTCCCTGGGTAGCTGAAAGATGAACACAGTTGATTTGTGAGTAGCTGAATGCTGGATATAGACAGTTTGTGAATAAGTAAGCTGCCACAACACAGTTTTAGGTAACAATAGTAAAAAAATAAATACAGGTTTTCTTGCAAGAAGTGTCCTGCTTCTATTGAAGATTGCCCTTACAGTATTGAATGAAGTTGTCCAATTCTTGTACTAAAGATAATACTTCATGACTTGAACATGCAGACCTTTATATACCAAAATGTATTTTGTTACTATGAAAACTATTTTTTCCTTATTTTCTTTAAGTAGAATTTATTCCACAAAAATATAATGCAAGGAAAAATATAATGTCTTTTTTCCCATTCTTATTCTTTACTCACTGGTCTTCACAATTTTTTGTACATTCTCAAGTATGTTATTCTTGGGAGCATATTATTTTCATTTGTTTAAATCACATTAAGAAATTGTTTTGTTTTTCAGTTGTTGGCACAGATAGAGGAGAGTATGTACCAAAAAACTGCAATGATATTGAAGTAATCACTCATCTGTTGGCTGAGGTAAAATTGTCATTGTTGTTTTATAACTAAACATAGTTTTACAAATGGGAAATAAATATTTTAAATTTTAGAAAGAAATGGATAATTTTAAGAATAGACATTTTAGTAGTGTTATTAGGGTGTTCAAGTTCCAACATCATAATCTTTCGCTGATTCAGGTGAACCAAACATGGCTTAAAATATGGTAGAATCTTATATGAAGTATACCTGGTAGAAATATAGTAAAGACAACACTGGCTCTTTTACAGTCCAAATTTTAGCCTGATTTTAAACCTGAAACAATAGCCAGTGGAGTAGGATACAGGCTGGGAAAAACAGTTCAACGTTTTTATTTTTCCCAGAATAGATCCCGAGAGTAGCAAAAACTGTAGAGCCATTTTTTTTTCATGACTGGCCCCAAAGCTCTAGGAGAATAGAAACTAGTAAGATGAAGTCAGCAAAAAAGTACAACCTGAACCACCAGAATTTTTAAGAAGAGACTGGACAACCATTTGTCTGAAATGGTATAGGGTTTCCTGCCTGAGCAGGGGGTTGGACTAGAAGACCTCAAAGGTCCTTTCCAACTCTGTTATTGTTACTGTTATTGTAATGATTGGAAATGACCTTGAGAGACAGAAGAAAGAGCCCAGACTAGCCAACAATCAATTAAGAAACAGCTAACATTCCTTCCACAGAAAGAATGGGGGCATGGCAAATGTCTCAGAAGGGATTCTTTCTAGTTTTTTGGATCATAAAGGCAAGAGGAGGGGTTTGCAGATTCTGTTAATGTAATCTTCAAATAAAGATAGAGTGTAATACTCCTGGGTGTACTTGTCTGGATTATCTTGTAAGGGTGACAATTATCCTTTTCAGAGTTGCTTTGCTTAGTAGCTTGTGCTTATATCTTCCATTCCTCCAATGTTTCTTTCCTTGCTGTGTTAATGATTGCTAGCATTGGTATGTATATCTGGGCCTTTGTTTTCTTGATTGTAATTATTTATTCTTTGATCAAGCGATATGATGGCCTACTAGTGAGGGCACTCTCCTCCCACTCGGAAGGGTGAGAGTTTAATCCTACCTTGCGACAGATATTTCTGTCCTAGGGCGAAAAGAAAAAATATTTGCTGCAAATTCTGCCTGGCATGAGTAAGGGCATTCAGCCGGTAAATGCTCAGCTCCATCCAATTGCCCAGACTCTACCCCGAATTAAGGGATGTAAAAAGGGAGTTTTTAATTATTAATTCTTTGATATTCCAGTGTCAGATTTATATTAGAACCATGGCCACATCCCCCAAAACAACTTGGACACTGATACAAACCCATTTACAAAGGAAAACTAAAGCCGTTTATTAAAAAGTTTAGTTGTCAATCTTTATGCTTGATCCAGATTCTAAGTAAAGTGGGGGAGGGTATCTTCCCATTCAGTAGTAGGCTGGCAGCTTAACTCCAGATTTGGGTGGAATGTCTGTTTTCAAATGACAAATATTTGAAAAAGATCCTGTGTTTTCCTGAGGTTTTTTTGAAGTGCCACAACATTATCAGACTCAAAACTCTGTCTCTTTTCTTCATTTATATGCACAAATGAAGAAAATGCTACCATTTAAACAACTTCTGCGGGGGGGAAAATAATGCTGTTTTTAATGGTTTTCTGAGCAGAAAGATCGAGATCTAGAACTAGCAGCACGGATTGGACAAGCCCTTCTTAGACGAAACCATAGCCTAACTGAGCAAAATGATGTTCTGGAGAATCAGTTGGGTCAAGCCTTTGACAAAGTAAGTGAACAGGTTTAAGCTTTGGCGATTTTAAGAGGTTAATTCATTATTTAAGCATCTATTGAAGTTATATTAACTATGAAAGCTGCTTATGGGAAATCCGATGAAAACTTTCAACCTATTGATGTTAGAAGCTTTCTTTCCTACAAAGTTTCAAGTTAGTCTTTGTTTAGTGAAGAAAGATGGAAGAATGTTGAGGCCTATTTTATTTATTTCAAATGTGGAAGCGTGTTTGTATTATGCAGAGCTGAATATTTCAGCTGAACTCTTGCTTGTGTACTTATTTTTTTGCTCCATGTTACAAACTATGTGTGCTGCATCTTAAATAGAGAGTAAAAATAGGAATTACAATCCATGTAAAGAAAATAAAATTTGAGTCTAATATTGAGTCTAGTATGTACTTATATGTACAAAATTCCCAATTGTCATGATTCTTCTACCTAAAAATAGAAAAGGGTTAAAAAAAAAACAAAGAATATATTTGAAAGCATTTGATTCAGCAACTTTAATGAATCCTAGGTCTATATAATGTTTGGACTGGTGCCCATTTAATTTAGGTCCCAGGAAAAAGCATTTGAGATATAATTGAAATAAATAAAATTTACCTATGGTTTTAATCTCACTACATACAGAAGCAGTTGGACCATGTATAGATATATCACATTATGAATAAAGAATTCTGGTGTTTGATGAATATGGAAAATAGTTCTTTATTTTCCTAGAATTAAAAAAAAAACACTGGATGATAGACTGGTAAATATTTCTTTAGCCTTAGAACTATTGGCTTTAAAAAAGGAACTTCTGTCAAGGAAAATTGATGTATTTTCACATTACTGAATTTTAGATAATGACAGTCCAGGAAAGAAAATATGATACTTGGAACATGGAATGAGCAAAGATATCTTCCATTAATATTTCTAAGCCTTTTCATAAAAATATAATTTGGAGCAAATCCATATTTAATACTATTTTTTTTAAAAGTGGGGGACAATTAGCATATTCTAAAGTGGTAATGGAGATAGCAGTACAATTGTATTTTAACTTGTCTGTTGATTCACTAATGTAAATTGCATTGTTTTGAGTAAATGGTTATGTTTACTAAACAAAAATGCTTTAAAATCAGATTCACCAGCTACAACATGAACTAACAAAAAAAGATGAATTGCTTCGTGTGGTATCCATTGCTTCTGAAGAAAGTGAGACTGACTCTAGCTGTTCCACACCACTTCGCTTCAATGAGTCCTTCAACTTGTCACAAGGTTTCTTACAGTTGGATATCTTGCAAGATAAACTCAGGGAACTGGAAGAGGAAAACCTATTACTTCGAACAAAGGTAACTTGATTTTGTTGGGAATTATTAATTGAATTAAATTCAAGCATTAAAAAAAGGTTATATTAACATGGCTAAGGTCATGCTTATGGAAAAAGTGATGAATAGGATTGTTCAACCAAAAAAGGACAGCAAAGGGCTCCCAAAGGGTATCTCCAAACTGAAGCAATGGACATCAGAATACAATGTAGATGCAAATGACCCAAAAGCAATTCTAACTTCACATGGATGCTGTGAGACCTGAGATGACAGAGACTGACCAGAACAGAAATGTAAGCTGATAGTGTGGATGCTTCAGTGAAAACTTTTCTACACTGTGGCTGCTATAAAAAATGTGAATTCTTTTATTTGCGGCATTAGAAATTGAAAATAAAACTAGCAATATTGTCATTTCTTTATACAAATCAGTGGAATAACTCTACTAGAGATATTTGTAGAAGTATTAATTCCATCTGTCTCGGTGCATGCCCTACTTCTCTGTGGTGTATCTCAAGACCATAGTGCCTTCCCTGATTCTGCTTATGTTCACTCATTTTTTTCCAGATAGGTGCAGTTACAGCAGACAGATATGGCCCTGGTCAACATCCAGGAAATAAATAGGAAACATGCAAATAAATTTCAACCAAATACTGAGGCTCTTTTATTCCCCCAAAGTCCTTGATTGTTGATTCAGAAGTCTGGCAGCTATGCTTGCCTAATTGATTTATAAGTGAGGATTTAAAAAACAGGTTCGACCCAAATTGGAAAGCTTGAAAATCATCAAACTGAATATCCAGATTAGCAATGATTTAATTATTTGGTTTGATTTCAGGTGAAGTCATATACTTTATATTTTGAAAATTTAGTATAGGTAGTCCTCAACGTATGACTGATCATTTAACCATATGTTGTTCACATGAGGAAGGTTCCTATTGCTGAATCATTATTATTATTTTGTAAGAAAGTTGTATATCCAGTGAAAGAAAATTTGGGGGTACTTAATTATGAAAGTTTTGATGCTTCTAACTGATAATGGTGACTTTATTTGATTTCAGACAAACTGATTCTTATGACATATGCAGTGAACTCAGATATTTTACTTTTGGAATTATTTGTTCTGGACACTTATCTAATTACATATTTGATCTTAGCAAGTCTTATGTTTTTAGATACGAGTTTAAATGAAACAAGTGCCACAATGGATTATCGTATTTGTAATTCTAATGTAGGGTTATATCCAGTGGTGTAGATGCAATTACATCCATTAGTGGAAATATTCCTCTCTCCCTCAGAATGTTGGAGATCCTTCTGAAGAACCTTCTATTGGAGCCGGATTGTAAATACTCCCCTAACATTAAATATATTCCAGAGTGAACATTTTGTTATACAGATAATGGGAAAAAAGAATATATTATAGATAGTGTTCCTCATAAAATTAATGAAACTCATAAATTTTTGAAGGCATGCCATCTGAAGACTGAAACCATGACATACGAAGATAAGGAGCATCAGCTAGTTACTGATTGTGTTAAAGAAATAAGTGAGTATTTTGATCATGTCTTCCACAGAGAATATACAAATTCAGTTCACCTGCATACCTCCGGTTTGAGCTCTGTACTATTCTTAACTTCATTTGGTCCTTTAAAAGGCAGTTGTCATGGTTCTGGCTGAAAAGCCCAACGAAGTAAATCCACCAGAGACATTGCAACTTCTAATGTAAAACTTTATTAGTCATAGCATACTGGTACTATAGAAGGAATTCCAGCTCTGGCAATATGGCGGGAAAAAGATAATTAAAAGAGTAAAACCTTCACACCCCTCTCTGATAGTTCATGTCACAATGTCCAATTAGTCTTCTAACGGTTTTTATGAGAAGACAGAAGACAGCTTCTGTTGGCCAAAACATCTCTTCTGTAACCTCGACTCTCACACTAATAGAAACCACCTATGAATTCTAAACCTTAACCCTTCCCTCCCCCCTCGTAACTGTAGGCAAGCTAGAAGAATCATGGCAATTCTAATACAAAGGGTCTTCGTAGCTTGATGGTATTATTTCAGGGTCCTTCAGGATATAATTGAATTGCAACTTATATCATCCCCCATAATTGGCCATACTTGCTTGAGTGCAAGGGGTTGTAATTCAAATAATTAGCAGGTAATAAATCCCCCAATTTAAAACTTTATACGTGTACACTTTTAAACTATATTTTTTTTCTATCAAGTTCAATTTCCCCATACCTTTTATCTGCCAGCCTTTAAATATGGTTATTAATTGTGAATCCACTAGCCTTCAAATTGAGTTAATAGCAAATTAACTTTGCAATTAAGCAGGGTATTAAAACCAGAGTGTTAGACTGGCTTTAAAAACTTGATTAATGGAGAATCCTTGTTGTGGAGACTTATGATTCAAGCAGGCACAGTTAGTTTGCATTTTTTTGGATTTTGCTTAAAATAACTTTATTGTATGAAAGGTTTTAAGGCGTTTGTTTTTTCAGAAAGGATGATATACTGCTGGTTTCTTAACAAAGCATGTATCCTGCTATATATTTTAGAGGAAACAAATGCTCAGATTGCAAGAATGAGTGAAGAACTGATGAGGAAGGATGAAGAACTGATTCACTACCAGGAGGAAATCTCATCACTCTTATCTCAAATTGTTGATCTTCAGCATAAGATCAAAGAGGTAGATGTGCACAAAGTTCAGAGAAGGGAAATGGTGAAAGTCAAACCATTACTTGTAGTAAGAAGTTAATGCCTCTAGCAGAGTTCATATAGGATTAAATAATCATATTTTGTATATCCTCAGCATGTAATCGAAAAAGAAGAATTGAAGCTGCATCTGCAAGCTTCTAAAGATGCCCAGAAACAGCTGACAGCAGAGGTATTGATGCCATCTACTTTCCCATTTTTGATGTAGAGAACAAATATGAAAAAGAATAAAATGTAAATATTTTACATAAGAATATTCAGATTTTTCCTGAATATTGATGGAGAATTTCTGGGGCACAGCTTTGATTTGGATGCCATTCACTTTGTTTTGGTTTAACATATGAAGAAAAAACAGATTTTTTAAAAAAAGAATCCAGATTAATTTTTATTCATTATTTAAATATTTTTCCCACTGCCAGAATATTATGGCCGAAACATTGGAAGGAGAAAGAAGCCATGAAACGTATTTCAAATGGTTCATGGTGCAATTCTGTATATGTTTGTGTTGAGGCAGAATTCACTGGGTTGGTAACACCAGACTTCTGCAGAATTGTTATGTTGCTCCTCTATCACTAGGCTTTTGGTTGTCCCTGAAGTATAGCCGGAAGACCTTGGTGGATCTTAAGGCAGCATTAAGCCTTCAAGAGACTGCGGCCAATGTATACTTTATGCCATGAATCTGGCACATAGACCTAATATTTTATATAGTAGTGATAGGTTTCTGGCCTTATATATTACATGCAAATAAATTTAAAGCACTACTTAAAAATTAAGATTGCATCCAATGTTATCATTCCTAGTTTTACCAGAATAGATTCCTCTTCTCTCTGGCAGCTCCTTGTACTCCCCTCAATTCTATTCCAGCAGAAAAGAAATGCTCTGGAGAAAAGAGGAAGCCCCTTTGCAATGCTGGCTGTTGGCTTTTTTGGAGGTGGGGGGGGGAGGATACTATAATAATTTACATAGCATTTATTTTATCTTAGGTTTTTAGCAGCTGCTAACATATTTCAGCAAACTAAGTATTTCATTAGCACAATTGTCATTTTCTAATTGTAATTGGTTATCTTCTGTTTATTATACACAATTGTCCCCCAAACTTTCTGTTGTTACGTGAGGCATTTGTTAAGTTAACGTTCTCATGGCTGAGTAAATGATTGACCTTTTATATCCTTGTAAGTTACATGAAGTGCAAGAGCGGAATGTGGAATGTCTGGGGATGCTGCATGAGTCCCAAGAAGAAGTGAAAGGATTGCGCAGTAAAACAAGCCAAGCTGCCCTTCACTGTCGACCCCAGTTGTGTGGAGCGTTTCCTGTGGTAATATAAGCTTTCTGACTGTAGCAGATTTCATTAGTTAAGCTCTTTCATCCTGCCAATAAAATGTCAAGGGCAAACTCAAACTGTTCTTCGGAAGAGAAAGTTGACACCAGTGATCCTTTCTAAATTTAGCTTCTTTATCTACATCCTACTTTATTCCATATGGGCTGAGTGATTTGTTTCATTTGGAGAACAAAGAAGGCAATACTGTATTGAACAAGGCCTGACACTCTTCTTGTTTAATGCTACTTTCTCTCTTGATTTTATTGTTGTGAGTTGGAAGAAACACTACGCTGCCTGTGCTAGAGTTGAAACTAAGATTTGTGTCCACCACCTCTTTCTGACTTTACTCTCATTATAAAAGAGTCTCCTATAAACTTCTCAAGCAGTTTCTTTTTTTGTTATGTGTCAGTTTCTGAATTCTGAGGGAAATGGAAGGAACAGATTCCTTGGGCAGATCTTTGATTGTCTGCTTATTAAAGATGTCTTATTATTTTTGCTGATTTTTCCCCTTTTAAGAAAAAAAATATTGGGAATACACTAGTCTTTGGAAGCTGTTTTATTTGAACATATGGTTTGCCATGACATTAGAACATGTACATTTTGATATAACTCATAAAAAACTAGAAAAATTACATTTCCTCATGTATATTAACATCAGTTGCAATTTTTCTATGCAGTTGTCCACTTGTAATACCTGCTGATTTCTTTTGCCTTATAACTAAATACTTTAAGCATTTATTGTAAAGAAATATTGTATGAAATATTTTCTTGCTACATAAATAAACAGCAAATTTACTCTTAAGCAGGACAGTCAGAATAACATCAGTAGCATTACAGTGGCAAAAGCTCTGCTCCTTTTCTCATTGTGTCATGACATTCCACACCTGCCTGGCAGGGATAGGCTTATATCAAGAATGCCATCCTAATGAACAGTCAACTCTTGTGGATACTAGGAATTACCTCATTCTTTCATTGTTGCAGAAAAAAACTCAATATGACTGTACTATAGAAATTAAGCAATGAATTGCCAAAGTAGTGCTGCAGACAGGCTGTCAAAATCACTTCTGAATGGTTTTTAATAAAGCTACTGGTTCCTGTTGTACTTCATTTTTTAATGAGAATACAATAAATATCCCTTTAAAAATGTCTTTGTTCTGAATTATAATTGTCAATTACTTTGGCATCCTTTACATTTTGTTAACATATTTAGTAATATGATGAGGATGAGGATGAGGAAACTTTTGGATGTGAATGTACTGATTTCCTAATTATTCCAAATTAGGTACTTATTTTGTCCTAATTGGAGATTCCTCAAAAGAAGTAATAATTGTTGTAGCTCTTTAATTATTTTGTAAACAGAGCTTAAGAAACTTGTTAATTCCCACTGTCTTAAATTTGAAGGAATCTCTGGCAGCAGAAATTGAGGGAACAATGCGGAAAGTGCTAAGTTTGGATGAGGAATCTCTATCTAAACAAAAGTAAGTGCAGTTCTTGTTTTTTCCCCTTAACCTGTTTTGCAGGTTCTCCTGTAGGGCGTCTTCCCTGCTATCAGTATAATATTAAGAGAAGTTGATATAGTTCCATATAGATAACCTTTATTATTTTATAGTAATATACTATATTATATATATATAATTTATAGACATATTCTAGTATTTTAAAGTTATTAACACAATTTATTAATTACACTCTAATGAATACAAGCTAAAATTAAATCCTTGACTAACGTTTCAGGAATTTTATGTTTACTTTATGCTAAACTCTGAAAGATTATTCCATAATATTTTAAGATAAGAACATATGCAGTTCCAAGGCTAGTTTTCTTTCATTAGAAAAACTACCAGCTACATTTTTATTTTCACAACTTTTTTTCAGGCATATAAGCTAATTGCCCTCTATGTGAATTCCATTAGAAAATTGTGAAGTCATTTTTTGTATCTTTTACTGCATATTAGGAGAACATTTGCAATAATTTCCTTAAGGTTTCTTGGCACATGGATATATTACACAGCTACTTCTCAGTTCATAGGTTAGCTTAAAAAAGTTAAAAGTGGAAGGAGCTGCAACATAAATCCCTTCCACATAGGACCCATTATCTCTCAGTGCACAAAGTGCATTTGTTGCTGTAACTCCCATAGTGTAAACAAATGGGTGAGATAAAGCCTGCCTATCAAAATGAGACTGTGAAAGGAGAAATACATGCATCACTTTGTATGCATTGCTCCTGTTCTGCTTTCAAAAGCCTGCAGGATATTTGGTACCACCCAAACAATTACTGGTCCATCTCTTCTGATATGAGTGTTGTTTCAGCAACTGGGGAGATGTTTTTTATTATCCAGATGAGGTTTTTGTATTCATTGTCACTTTCCCTTTTTCCCTAGGATTCAACAGAAACGTATATTTGATACTGTTAAACATGCTAATGATATGCATGGCCGTTCTGCATCGTGTCCTGTTTCACTGTCCATTCCAGGATCCAATCGTTCAAGTGTTGTCATGACAGCAAAGCCTTTTCATTCTGGCTTGAAATATGTGGAAGGAAAAGGACCTCAAGCTCTAAAGGCCAGCACAGAGGATGTTTCCAAGTAAGGAAATAGCAGTGTTTGAGCTTTAGTTGACTATGTTATATTCAGCACAACTGCCTTTTTATGGGAGGAGGGGGGAATTGACAGCAGTTTTTAAGCCAAATTCTGCTTTTTTCTTATGCTTTATTCAACGTATGTGTTGAGGACTATCAAGTAGAAGGCTGCATATAACCATTTTTCCTATCAGTAATTTAATGTTATGCCTGCCATGGACAGCATTTTGGCATCAGGCAAGTAGTATAATAACATCAATTTAGAACATGAACAAGCAACAAAGAAAATATAGTTTTACTTCTGTTACACAGATTTCCTTCATGGAGTTTTCACCCAACTCTCTTCACTGTGGGTGGAGACAACACAGTTAGGAGACAACTGGGACAGGATGGAGCTTAGCACAAATCACTTACAGCAGCTACCAGAGAAACACATTATTATTAGTCATAGTAGTAATAGTAGTAGTAGTAGTATTGCCTCCAGCAACATGTAACATTATAAATGCTTCTATATCATCTACAAAAACAAAAATTGTGCTAAAATTAGATAATATCAGTTTATGTCCTATTAATGCAATATTTAATTCTGTATTTTGATAGGGAAACTCAGAAGCTAAGCCATGCAGGTATCCCTTCAGAAGATGATGTAGCCACTGCTTTACATAAACTTAATCTCCGTTGTCAGAATTATCTAAGTGAAAAATGGTTTTTTGAAGAAGAATGGAAGCGTAAGATACTTTTGCTGGCTGACCAAAAGGAAGAACTCACTGGCTGTAGCACACCAGTAGAGAACTGTTTTTCACTGAATAGCAGTTCAGAACGTGCTGATTTCTCTGGATCTTTTAGCAGCATGCGGTCCCTTCTCCCAGAGAAATTGCAAATCGTCAAACCCCTTGAAGGTAAGATAATCACAGTCCTGTTTTCAATCACAGTTCACTGTGAGCCTGTTATGGGTGTCTTCCATTGGCTACTTTATATCCTGGCCTTAGGATTAGTTCCTGATCATTCATTATCTCTCAGATTACTTCCAGATATAAGTTTGTGCTGTCCCACAAATGGATGTTTGGTTCTGTTTATTTTGCATCCAAATTATATGTATTATATTGAATGCAATTTTAGACCTTTTGGTTTCTCTGCCTGACTTACCTCAGCTTTTAATCCTTATTATAGAGCTCTGTGTCTTACACCTCAACTTAAGTTACTGAAAATAATCCACACCCAAGCACATTTTTACAATAGAACAGAAACAATAAACTGTTAACAAGCAAATAAATTGCTGCTGTTTAGTCCATTATTTTTTTTCTTTTTATGACTCTGAAATCCTTTAATTAGGGGTAGAATCAGGGCGACGGAACGGAGCTGAGCATTTGCTGGTTCAATGCCCTTCCTGATGCCTACATGGAGTTTGCCGTAGATATTTTCTGTTTGTGTCTTGAGAGAGAAACATCTGCTGCTACTTAGTATTAAACTTTCAACCTTCTGAGTGGGAGGCAAGCATCTTCACCACTTGGCTTCTTGTTTAGTCCATTAAAATGCTATCTAAATATTCACTGAAGGAAAATAAATGAGTGAAGGTTTAATCCAAATCATAATTTTCTGCTTCAAAGTAAAACTTCTTTGATTTAAAATCTGAAGGATCCACAAGTGGAAAGGTTCTTTCTAGATTTGCCACTATTTTACAAAATCCTATCAATTTGCATTATATGCAGCAGCCTCAAGCTCCCAATTAATACTTCTTTAGTTGGCTGCCAAGTATTAAGATATATGGAGTGTTTGAAGGCCTTTTGTGATTTGTACTTCTCCAGGCTCTCAGACCCTATTTCATTGGCAACAGCTGGCTCAGCCCAACCTAGGTACAATTCTTGACCCGCGCCCTGGCGTTGTCACAAAAGATTTTGCACCATTGTCTCAGGAAGATGTTTATTACCTTTCTGATTTGGAAGAAGATGAAGAAGAAAGGGATGAAGGTATAACTTTCCAAGTACAGCCCTCTTTACAGGAGGAAATTAAACAGACAGTGCCAAAGTCAGTGCCAGGAATTTTCCTCCCACCTGTTAAATTAGCAACAGTTCCTCATGCAGGTAAGAATTTGTGGCATGACCATTACAATTTTTGTTGAATTTTCTAAGCACCAACTGTTGTAGATCTGCTGAAGATCAATTTTTACTTATTCTTTTATGGTGTGTGATCAGTCCTGTTAAAGCAGTTCAGTTCTCACAGGAAGCTATATATTCTTGAGAAATGTGTGGCATTCTATCCCACTTGCAAAAGGGAGGCTCTAGAAACATACTTCCCACTCTCTTAAGATACACACACAGAGAGAGAGAGAGAGAGGGAGAGAGAGGGAGGGAGGGAGGGAGAGAATTAAAAAACCTCTTGAATGGGGTACACTGTTGTATGAGGAGGAGCTGGAAAGATTCCTGCCAAATTAGGTGGACACTTTCAATGATCAAGCTTACTTGCAGTAACTTTCTTCCATTAATATAACAGAGGCTTATGTATAATTAAACTTGAACATTTTAAAGTCTGAATCATGTTTTAGTCACTATTTTATTGAGGAAAGTAATTTTATGTGTACTTTTGTAGAAAGAAACAGTAAAAGATTAACCTTATATTCAATCAAGAATAATGACTAATATAGTAAAGTAGATGTTTACTAATATAGTAAAGTAGTGCTCAAATAATAGTAATTTTACAGTGTGAGCATGAGATTGGCTTCTTCCTCAATTTCTCTCTACAGGTAGTTCTTGACTTATAAATATTTGTGTACGTGACTTATCATTTTTCACACTTGCAACCATTACAGTAACCCTGTGGTCATGGGATCAAAATTCAGACACTTGGCAATTGTCTCATATTTATAACCGTTGCTGTATCCCACGGTCATATGATCTCCTTTTGTGACCTTCTGACAAGCAAAGTCAATGGGGAAGCCAGATTCACTTAACCACCATGTTACTGCAGTGATTCACTTAACTGTGGCAAAAAAGGTCGTAAAATGGGGCAAAATGTACTTAACAACTGTCTTGTTTGGAAACAGAACTGTTTGGGCTCTATTGTGATCATAAGTCAAGGACTATCTGTACTTGATTTAATTATAGTTAAAGCTGATCTTGGCATGATACTTATCTGTCATTAACAAATAGAATTGATCCAGCTTTTGAAATTAATCAGAACAAATCCTTAAACACTATTAATTGCAAAAGTGGAATTTGGACCAAAGAAGAGTTGTAGAATGCTTGAACATGTTCCACATTTTTAACTATGATTAACAAATGGGGAAGAATATTCCAACTGTTTCCTAGTTGCCATATTCACAGTAGCCCATTCTAAAATAGCAAAATGTTGAGTTTAAGAGTAATAATTTATCTGCCTTAGGCATCATGTTAAAAAGATGACTTAAAGTAATGTAGAAGATCATGTTTTCTTTCATATATTTGCATTGAATTACTAAATTAATTATGCCTTAGTTCAGATTTTCATTAGCCTGCTAGTATGCTTCTCATTTCCTTCTCATCATATATGTTATAATTTGCATTGTAGCTTCCAATCCAGGAAAATGTCTTTCATCTACAAACTCTACATTTACTTTTACTACTTGTAGAATACTTCATCCATCTGATATCACACAGGTTACACCCAGGTAAGGAGGTTTACTATTACTCTTAAAAGTTGGTTATATGCAGGCAATCTGGAATTGAGCATCTACTTGATACACTTTATATATTAATTAAATTAGCAGCATTCACATTTCAATTTTTTAGAAAGCAATGAAAATAAAGAAAAGTGGTTAAAAGGATATGTACAATGTAAAGCAGAACTAAAATTGGCAGGGTACAGAGGCTCTGACCTTGAATACTGAATATCTCCTTCCCTCCTCCCTTTGCACTTTCTACAGAAGTTATTAATCACAATAATTAATGTGCTTTATCTTCTTGTTTTGTTTTCCAGCACTTTGTATTCTCCCTTGTGCTCTGGAAGTTGTAGCAGTACAAGCAGTGTAATTACAAGCGCTCCACCCATGTTGTATAAGCTTAGTACTGGAGAATTCCTTACTAACAGAAGAGATTCAACTTCCACCTTCAGTAGTACTAGACGTTTAGCAAAGCTTTTGCAAGAACGAGGCATCTCAGCCACGGTTTATAACAGTCCAGTCCAACTTGAAGCACCACTGCTTCATCATCCCAGGATACCTGCTGTGCCCTCAACACCCCCAAATTCTCCTTTGCATTCCCCTTGTTCTTCTCCTCCCTCTTTTGAGTTTCAAGCATATGTGTCTGAAAACTTTTTGGCCTCTCGACCAGCTGAAACATTATTACATGAGCTGTATGGACAAAAGCCCTCGAATCCTTCTGATGCAAGACAGCTGAAGATCAATCTGGTAGAGAGGCTAAAGAAACTGGGGATTGCTAGAGCTGTCAAACAGCCCGAGGCAGAGGGTCATAGAAAGAGTCAGAGGGAAAGTAGCTGTCTCCAAAAACAAGGCTCAGGAGTGTATGTTAGTGCAGGCAGCAATTTGATGGGGGGCTTGAGAAGAAACCACAGTCTTCCGGTCTTGATTGGAGCACTTGCAGGCCCAGTAAGCACATCCTCCACAACAATGGGGGTCTTGAAAGAGGATTGAGCTATTTAGCATCAGACACTTTTAGTTGGGAAACAAATGTTTTGAAATGGAAAGATAAGATTAGTAAAAATGGATGCATTAAACATAAGACTGTTGAATGATAAAGGTATGTGGCTAAATGGGACATGGGAGGCTCGGCATAAAAAATTGTAAAAATTAAGAAAGGAAGAAAATAGAGAAAAACAAAATTTAGTCTTGAAATGATTGAAAAAAACTTTTGTCATGATCAAAAGGAAATAAAGCAAACAAATATATTTTCTACCATTGATATTAAAAGAACAAGCCAATGTCTATGCAACTTTATTTTAGAATATGTTTTATTGGATGTCATCCAAGAAATCCATATACATAAATAGACCATCTAAAGTTATATATGATTGTAAGGAAGTACATTCTTCAAATAACAGGTGCAATCTGTTTATAGAGAAGAAATCATATTTATTCTAATGTAGAAAGATCAGGTGCAATATTATTTTATTAAGCAATCTCACACATTAGAAATCTAGGAGTGCAAAATTACTACATACTGTATTGCACAAACAAAAAACCTCAATGTTTAAAAAAGGAGTCAAATGTATGTGCTTTGTGGAGGTTCTATATATATTTGGAAGGGATATATTTGGCAAGTAAGAAAGTATTTGTTACTCTATACATAGCTGTATTTGGAAAATGTTTACCATATTAATGTTGGAATAATCTTGGAGAAAATTCCATACATTTGAAACAATCAGTAGTTAATAAAAATTATCTTTAAAATATGTTATAAAAATAATAACAATTTTCGGATTCTTGGGAAGTTAAAACCTCAAGAGATTTAAAAAATGACAGGCACAACTTATTGTATTAATATGAAACAGAATGACAGCTATTCAAGCTGTAATAGACAAAGAATTGCCATTCATAATTTAGTCTAAGATAAATTCCACGCTTGATGTTTCTGAAGCAGGATTTTGTGTTTCACAAAATGAGCACAGTGGGACAGCTTTGAATGTGAAGCAGAAACAGGAAAGAGAAAAGGCACAAGTGACTCAGATTTTTCTTTTATATTTGGATAACCGAAGGAAGAGATTCTTAAAATACGCACATCTCACTTGCTCAGTTAATTGCTAATCAAAAATACTTGCAAAGAGTGTCATGACTGCACTAAGCTGCTTGATTTATGGTTATGATGAGCAAATATAGCCCTCTTGCCATAGATCAAACAGGAGATGATGAAGATAAAAGCTGAATGGTTTGAAAATTAAGCACAGAAAGTGACTAGATCATTTATCTGTGGGTTTTAAAAGACTATTCTCTATATTAGTTAAAGAGATCATAGGGTGAATTCAGAAATACTAAACAGACTGGATTTAAACAATCCAGGTAGCTTTATATATCAATGAATCAAAGTAAGGGTTTTCCCCCCTTGAATAGGCATTCTAGGTGACAATTTGGAAGAATTCCTTTAAACAAATGTTTTCAAGGTTACAAACAGCCATGCAAGTAGCTTATCAATTCAGTCTTGGTATCAATCAATGAGCTTGGCACCATTGGTTGGAGCTACTAATTTGTAAATGGTGCTTGTAAATAGTAAAAATGTATTATTTTAAGCTTCTATATACGGGTTAATTCTATTTAAATTCTATTTTAATTTTCTTTAAGTGTATAAAGCTTGTAAAATGCATTTCCTTTGTGATGTTTAAAAACTTGCTTTCCTTGGCAAGATAAATAATAGGGAATATTTAAGTTGGGTTCCAAAGCAGCCTGCCACACTTTTATATAAACAGAGAAAAACCTGGGTAATGAAACAGAAGCATTCTTCAAGATGATCCATAGTAACTACAGGGAATCAAGCACAATATTTCAAGTACTGTGGATTTGATGCATGTCAGTTTTATATATTATGCAAATTCGTCTTAAATCATAGTAATTTTGAATGAGCATTCCTAATTGGATTTCATATCTTTGTCTTTTTAACTTATTTGTATTGGAATGGTTCAAAAGAAAGTCTGACTTAATAAGGTTCTGCCACTGATAACAAGACCTTGTAAATCAGACTTATTTCTGTTGAACCGTATCCTATAAAATTTTGTAAAACTATTCAGTAAATACATGTTTATTTGAAAAGGGTTTTTTTTTTCATTTTTTCCAAGTATGGATTATCTAAGACAGTGTTTCTCAACCTTGACAATTTTAAGGCATGTGGACTTCAACTCCCAGAATTGCTGGCTGTGGAATTCTGGGAGTTGAAGTCCACATGCCTTAAAATTGTCAAGGTTGAGAAACACTGATCTAAGATGTCATATTCTGATTTTTTTTACTTGGGGCTGGCTTACATTTTTTACCTTCTGTATTACTAATGAGTGTGCAACCACTTTAGAGGTAATCTACTTACCTCTAAAGTGGAAACGCTACCGGTAGTTTTATAGCATCCCTAAAGACCCTCCTCTCAAAAAAAATTAGCTGGGAGCTAGAGGAGCAGTACTTTTGTGCCAAAGCTCTTTTAAAAAATGAGCCTTGGAAATAGAAAACAGATGAAGAAAAAACAATCAATATAGTTACAAAAAATACATTATATCCCAGATAGCTGTTGTTATAATGAATGACCTATCCTGCAAGATTGATACAGCTAACAATAACAACCCTATAGGATCCTTAGAAGAATATCTTGATCACTTTCATATGTACTTTGATATCATATTTGAGTGCCAATTTTTCATGAAGAAATAGCTGCTCATGTCATTTAAAACAATATCGGTAAATATTTCATTATAATTGAAATTCTTTATATGTTTCATAACAATATGTATGCTTCAGTCTGCTCATTGAATGAAAATGCTTTTTAAAAAACAAAACAAAAAACCAAATATATCTATTTTAATATGCAAATATAGATGTCATTTTTTTCTGCAGGCAATACTTGAAATGCATTTCATTTGAGAAAGAAATAGCTGTAATTCAACATATAATAAAGATATTATTTCTTTTTGGCTTTCACCTTAGAGTGTGCATTTCTTAAGGTTATAAGGTTAAGTTTTTGCATATTATAATAAAATTGAAGCTTGATCATAAAAATAATAAAACCCATCTTTTTACACATTTTGGTGGTATGATGTTTTCTTGTATGCGTAAGCAATTTTTATTTATTTAAAAATGTATGTCTCTGTTCCTAGAGGGGAACTAATGGCAAAAAAGAATTACCAATATTTAAATAAATTTAAAATAATACAGTAAGTAAAAACATTTGACAGTCTTTAATAGTCTAGACAATCTTGATCATAACAGGTTAACAATAATTAAAAGCAAGACTTCAATTTGAAGTCTTATGGGTGACCATCAAACTTCATAGAATTGGGGAATGCAGAATAAGTACCAGGTAGAGATACAGTGGCAACCATTGCATTTAATATTCAAATAAAATTGGTGCAACCTGGTGAAAAGTTGCCACATTTGGTTCCAGTTGCAATTTCTGAATATTTGGGTGGCCACGCCTATGTGGAACATAGTACAGTTTATAATCTGGAGATAATTAAATCATGAATGACTTTAGAAAGGTCTATTTTTGGCAGAAAGTAGTGGGGGATGATCAGTCCAAACTGAAAACATTCTTTTAACCCAATTAATCTTGCAAAACTAATAGGAAATATTTTAAATAAAATTATTTGCATTCTAAAAGAACTTTTTTAAGATAAACATTCAGGATATTTTATTCCACCTAATCTATCACAATTGCCTTTCTATTGGCATACAACCTAATGTAATCACACAGAGAAGGAAGTATCCTTTGCAGACTTAGTGACTTCCTTCGGACATTAAATTGGGGGGGGGGGGGCAAGACTGTGCCACATAGAATGCTATTAGCCACCAGCAGTTGTCCTGCATCACCACCACTTTCTATCTTCCAGCAGTGAATGGAATCCATTTGTCTGTACTTTGGTACCAACGATTTCCATTCCCTCAAGCATAGGTCTGCTCAGAAATTCTGGAGGAATCAACAATGTTCCCTTTTCTTCATCTATCAAAAAATAGAAGTCATTTGGAAGACATTAAGTAAGCAACCTGGTAATTTTCATGTGTTTTGGACTACTGTCTGAAAATCCCTTGCTACCAACCATATCACCGTGTATAATAGAAAGTAGAAACTCAAGATATTAGGAGTAACTGAGTGTGTGTTTGTGTGTATTCATTGTATACTTTGCTCAGATACAAGTCGTTCAGTATCTTTTATGAAGAAAATCAAAACAAGCTTAAGAAAAAAAGAAAAGTTATAGTATTCATTGTAAGGGCACATTGCTGATGTGCCTCAAAACTGAAGTGCCAGGAAATAGACTGAAAAGCTTTGAGGAATGACAAAATGGGCCAGTAAGAATGGGGAGAAGCAACACTGGTCACCTTATTTATGAAGACAAGTGGAACTGGCAAGGGAGAAAAGAATTGGAACAATTAAATGATTTGAGAGGTATATTACAGGGCTTTTCAACCAGTGCTACACATACCACTGGTGATACATCGGCAGGTGGTATGTGTACGATGGGTTGAAAAGCACTGTTAAAAAAAAGTGTAAAAGTAGACGAGGTGAAGCGGCAGCGCCGCACAGGCTTGTGGGAAAGTCAGCTGGAACTGCACAAGGCATTGCCTGGGTCCTGCTGAGAGCCCAGGATCAGCGCAAGCAGCTCCGGCTGATTAGGGGTGGCAGGCAACCTCACGCAGTCTTCAGGCAGAGATTCAGCTGGAACTGCACGAGGTGTCGCCTGGGTCCTGCTGAGAGCCCAGGATCAGCGCTTGCAGTTACAGCTGATTAGCGCTTCCAGTGCACCGGGAAGAGAAAAGGAGGAGGGGGCAAGAGAGAGGAGTGGTTATAAAAGAGCAGGTTTTGGCAGGAGAGGGAGATTAAAAAAAAGACAAGGGGGGGGAAGAGAAAGGGACAGCAAAAGAGACAGAGAAGCACAGCCTTGAGGAGAGCAGTCAGCTGGAGGTGCACCAAAGAAAAAAGGGGGGAAGAGGACACGATATAGAAGAAGGGGGAAGAGAGGATATAAAAGAAGGGGGGAGAGAAGAGGACATAAAGGGGGGAGAGAAGAGAGGATATAAAAGAATGGGGGAGAAAAGATATAAAAGGAGGGGGGAGAGAGGATATAAAGGGGAGAGAAGAGAGGATATAAAAATGGGGAGAGAAGAGAGACTATAAAAAAGGAGAGAGAGAAGAGAGGATATAAAATGAGGAGTGAGAAATTTGTTAAACGAGTTTTGCCCATTTTATGACTTTTCTTGCTACATTTGTTAATCACTGCAGTTGTGTAATTAGTAACACGGTTGTTAAGTGAATCTGGTTTCCTCAATTACTTTGCTTGTCAGAAGGTTGCAAAAGGCAATCACATGACCCTGGGACAATGTGACCATTATAAATATGAATCGGTTGCCAAGCATCTGAATGTAAATCACATGACCCTGGGGATGCTGCAACTCTCATAAGTGTGAAAAATGGTCATAAGTCAGTTTTTTCAGTACCGTTGTAACTTCAAACAGTCACTAAGAGAACTGTTGTAAGTCAAGGACTACCTGTACTTTATCACTTTTTTCCTTTTTTTTTTAGTCATTAAGTTTTTGACACCTTGTTAGGCGACTGGTGGTACTTGACTATTGCCATATCCTAAAAGTGGTAAAATCAGTGAAAAGGTTGAAAAGCTCTGGTGTATTATACTCTTCAATGCTATCCTGGAAGACACCAAATGCATGTTACACAATACCAATTGTATTGCCAAAAAAGGTTAGGCAGCCATTTTGTACTAACCTCATTCTTACTGCAATTTTGCCTCCTAAAGTTGTGGGGGTAACTTTAATACTGTACAACATGATACTCAGTACAAGTCATATAGGTTTTCAGGATCACATGACACTCAGGATATCTTTTTCAGAGTTTCAAAAGCCAGAAAGCTTAGTAAGTGTGACTTACTAAGAATGCTCCCCCTTATTTTTAATTCATTGCTTACTCTGATTGACCTGTAGGTGGTTCAGGAAATCCAGTATTAGAGCACCCCCTTGAGTTTGGAATAAATTAAGAACAAGCGTGACTAAACTGTTTTGTGTACTGTGCCTTTAAAAATAGAATGGAAGGTGGCAGACAGTAAATCTGTTTCCATGGTGAGAAAGAGCTTAAAATCCCCCAAGAGGAGCCACTAAAGTTCCAAGCCTTAATGGACGCCATCCCCACGTGGTAAAAAATTTTCACTTGTAAGTTTCTCTTGACTGGTTTTAAATGTTCTGTATTAACCAACCAGTAAAGGGGACATCCCAGATGATTTCAGGTTAAGTGCAAGTAAACCTCCCTCTTGAACCAGAAATGGTGGTAGTCAAAGATCCATCTGTTACTATGGTATGACCAACTGTAGTTTTGATGCTTGTTTCTATTACTTAATCATTTCACAATGCAGCAAAAGTGACAGAGTGATTTCCAACACCTTTTTTTTCCAGTTGGGATCTGCCAGTTTCTCTGTTGTTTAAATTGTTTAATATTAAAATTCTTGTGTTTGTTGTTAAAGTGGCAGGCTGGAGATGAGAATGCAGTTATTATGGGCAACTGAACATAATATTTTTGTG